ATAATTCTTATTAACACATAATACAAAAAGTTACACAAACTAAAAAAGGAAGCTAAATCATTAGCGTACTTAGAATGCAAAATTTTTGATATGTACTAAGATAAAACGTATGTGTTGAATTTAATTGCAGCTTAATCGCCACATTAGGTTAAGTTATTGTTTAGGACCATGTATGACAATATGTCATTTTTGTAAAATACACTTTTTCGCACTTTAAAATGGAACAAATGTATATTTAAGCTTTAAAGGAATAAAGAGAAAACTAGTAAAGTATAGCAGTAAAGGTCCGTCCTTGTCAACTATGCTTTCTGTTCTTTTCGTATTTCAAGTGCAACAAAGTGCAATTAAGGAATACACTTTGCATCACGCCATTATGAATGATACAAGACAAACTTAAAAAAATTGAAAGATATTTTATAAAAAACTTTATCAATCAGAACAAAACAAATATGTATTAGAAAAATAAAAATAGTAGAGTTATCGGAATTATATTTTATTAAATTCGCTTATCACTAGCAATACAAAATAAGTAAAATACATGTGTGTGAAATATGATAGATAAATATAAATTTATTATATTGATTTAAGAGAACAAGGAGAATTAATATATAACACAATAATCCAGTTTATATAATATATATAATCTGTATATGTTTAAAAATACTTTACAGCCTTATTTAACAGCTTTTGAAATCTTTGACAAACTCAGATATAAATTGACAAATTAGAGTTATTTGCGATATACATAGTTTTACTTTTTTCACTTTTTAAATATATCACAGTAAATTTTATATATTCTTATTATACAATATTCTCCAGCTCTCAATTATGACAAAACAATACTTGCATGTGTATATAAAAAAAAATTTCGAATATTATATTAGATGAAGAAAATAAAACAATTAGAAAACAGAGTTTAGTATAATCCATCATTTTTGTTATACATCTCTCTTTTTCGTTCTCGTACATATTTTAATATATTCCAGATTTGCAAATATATGCAGGCATTATATCATTTATATTATATATTAATTACATAATTATATTAATGGTATTAATTATATACATTTATAGAAAATTGTATACAATTAATATAACTATAATTGTGTAATTATAAGTATATATACACATAGTATATTAGACAAAATCCAAGGCCCCCCAAATGTTTTTTCAGTCAAAAGATCTGAAAAAGTAAGATCAAATGAGATATTACATGCCTAATGTCAAATACTGGACCGAATTATTCATTTAACTTCATTAAAATAGCAAGATGATATCATAAAACATTATCGATCTGTGTCATAAAGATGTGACATAGATCCACCTGCTTTACTCCTATTATTATTCTTTTCCTATTACACCTATGACCTATGCTATTACTACTACACACAGTATTAATTACATAATTTATTATAATGATATTAACTATATATATACGTGTAATTTTCAAATTTTAATTTAAGGCCATTTTATAAAAATTTCTTTACTTACACAGTGCTTCTAAAAAAAAAAAATCATCCAATAAATAATTCTCTCTTTATATTTTATACATTATAAAATTGCAAATAAAAAAGAAAATGATAGAAAGTATCATATGTAGCATACACAACAAATATGCACTGTGTTAGATAATAATTTTTATACAGCAGAACACATAAACTATAAAATACATTTAATATATACTATCCAGGCACCAATATATTTCTGAGAAACAAAATAAAATAGAATAGGAAAAGAAAAAGATTAACTTGCTGTTATCCACAAGTTAAAAAATTGAACTGTATAAATTGCTTAGGAATGTGCCTTGTGAATAAAATGACTGGATTACCTATATTTGATTGCTTGTGATGGAAAACAATTAGTCCTTTAAAATATAATATAATGATCAAATATATACTTCAAAAAAAATAAAGCAAGTCTTTTCTAACTTTACATCTGCGGTAACTGATCAATCGGTGTGGCAAATCTGAAATCTTCTGGGAAGAGCTTACTAGCATGTGGATACATTAATTTGTACGATTGTCGGATTGTAACATCTGCAACACCAGCAATATCTCCAATTTCTTTCTGCGACCTCTTATCTTCTGAAGCCTGTATAAGATAAAATAATGCAGGTTATAGAATGCAGTATTACTTCTGTGTTCTTATAGAATATAGTTTGCACACCTGCGATGCCATGTAAATCGCTGCAGCTGCAACTGAAATAGGCGATCTGCCTGGTACAATGTCAATCTCCACAGCCTTCCTGGCAATATGTGTAGCGGCCCTCTGCACCATATTGGGAAGACCCAGATTGGAGCAAAATCTGGACATAAAGTCGCCTGTAGTAATGAGATCGACGCTGGTTTCGAGAGCTTTGAGAATCAACTTGAAACATCGCCCGATCTCTTTCTTGCTTATCTTGCTGACGGCACAAATCTCCTTGAATGTGCGCGGTACGCCCTCCTGTCGACAGGCGATATACAAACACGCGGAAGCGATCGCGTCGTTTGCGCGACCTTTCAAGTTTTTGCCGTCGTGCACTTGCTTAAACAACGTATTAGCTCTGTCCACAATAGTTTTTGGCAAATTAATACGATCCGCCATACCATTGATCTCGCGAAATGCATTAAGCAGAGCTCTGTCAGAACTACTCATCTAAAAGAATATATATTTTTGCTAAGTTTAATACAATTCGCACATTGTGCAATGTCTCGAAGAGAAAATATAATACTGACTGTACGCCGATTTTGATATTTGGCAGTACCAAAGCCATCAAAAGACGCAGCGCCTGTTCCAGGTCCAATCATTGTGGATAAATCTGCACCATTTAGAAGAGGATTCTCCGGTCCACCGACACGAGATGGATCTATTCCTGATTTTTCATTGCTAAACGTTCTCCATTCTGAACCTACATCTATCACTCTGTGGCGTTAGAAAATAAATATAAGAATATTATATTCATTATATAATTAATTTTATGCTCTTATTTGTAGTGCTGTTACCTATCTCCCACAACTAATCCGCATTCCGAGCAAATCTGGTCTCCCGCTCTGTAATCTTCTATAAGTGGGGCATCTGGATGTGCGTAACAACAAATCTTGTTTGTATCATTTCTGTAAAAAACAGTTTTAAGACTAAAGATTTTAAATCTATGTTCTATATGTTAAATATTCTATATATTAAGTAAAATTACATAATCAGGCAATAGATAAACAGTGCATGATTGTGCAAATGTAAACAAATAAATAACTTCTTCAACGCAATCGCATCTCTAGTTATAAATGTTATTAATATATTGATGCATAATGTAGCTTTTTACTTCTATAAGGAAATTTATTTTACAGTCTAAAGTCTTAGCGCAATTAATTTATTCTTATGCTGATTGAAAGTACACTTGGTGCAGTAAATAAAATCTCATATAACTATACGCGATCTTAACCTTTACTTTAATTCGTTATCGATAATATCTAGAGTACGATTCGTTTGACAATTATTACATTATCGATAATAATTTGTCGAAAATAATATTGTAATTATGCAGAACTTACCGTGACGAACTTGCCATATTTTCGCTGATTTTCGCATTTGCCCCTATCCAACGATCCAACCTGTCCAATATTACTACAGTCACAGTGTATAAAGTATGTGAGATCGTCGAACCAATATTGTTAGACGGACTCCCTTTTTCGCGCATGCGCAACGTAACAATGGCGATTATAGCCACGTATACGTGATGGGTATATTTCAATTTTGACAAAATATTGCAAAGAACAGAAACAGGTTAAATAGCTATAAATAAATATAAATTAATTAATATAATTTGCACATATTATTTTTTTTATTTCATGTTTTAAGACTACGGCCGGTATTCATAGTCCGTTCTTATATCCAAGATCGTCTTAAGTGTGGTCTTGGGTCGTCTTAAGATCCCATTCAACCAATGAAATCGACGCATAGTATCTTAAGATCGTACTTAAGACGATCTTGAATATAAGAACGGACTATGAATACCGGCCTACGTTCTAAAACGTACTCTCCGAGGAAAATTTTACTCGATGGCCGTCCATCACTTTTTTGAGCGTTTCTGATTGGTTCCAAGCCATTCGGCCATCGAGTAAAATTTTCCTCAGAGAGAAAATTTTACGCAGTTTTGGAACCTAGTCTTAATTAATTTTCTAAAAAATTTTAAATAATTTTTAAAAATGTAAAGCCCGTATCAGACTACGCATTGAAGATTGAAGATTGAAGATTAAAGATTGGAATTTGACTAATCAGAACAAAAGGGACTAAAATTTCTTTATCCTGATTGGTCAAATTTCAATCTTGAATCTTGAATCTCAATCTTCAATGCGTAGTCTGATACGGGCTTAAGCCATACAGAACCTCATTCTATAATAGCGTTTTCGAATGTAGCAGGTTTAATCGCTCCGAGAGCGATTAATGACGTCATTGCATCGTCTCTGCCAATAAAAGGCTTGAATTCATAGTAAAATATAGTGATTAATTGAACTTATCCGTTCATTCGAAAACACTACTATCAACACTCGACGTTGATTCGTTGGTTCTAAAAGTAAGAGCCAATTACATTCGATTGCTACTGAGCGATTTTCTCTGTTGAACACGACCAATAACAAAGATAGAACGACGCTCGTGTGCATACCAGTGATGCGCTGTCGTGGGAATAAAGTCGCGCATGCGCACTAAGCAAGCGCTACGTATCCTCACTAATGTATATAGTTCAATCAAATATGAGGTATCGTTAGGTACCCCCCAGCGAGAAAAAAAATATGAAGGAATTTGCAAGGAATGTTTCTATCAAAGAATGTTGCAAAGAATGTTTCTATTAAAGATAATACGACACACTACACGCGTTATCACTTCATTACTAGAAAGACGCGGGAAAACTACGCGGAAACCCTTATACGCACCTAACGTTGCAGCTAGATACATCTGTGGTAACGCGTGACGTATAGCTGTGACGTCAGCTTACGCATGCGCACGGAGATTCCCACATGGGAAAAAATCCCACAGCAGCGCATCACTGGTGCATACGGGTGATGTTTCCGAACGCCTTGGTTGTTCATATCCGTTACACTAAACTTTCAATCCTCTTCCCTTTTTAGTTTCAATCTCATGGCAATACACTCCATTGAGATATTTTCTACATCCATAATCGCCGTTGCGGTTGCGGCCTTGGTCGAGTTACTGTCGTGTTCAGACACGTTACGCATGTGTCCTTTGGACCTTATTTTTGAATTCTATTCTTTTTTAAAGAGGAATTCTTTCTGTAGCATCCTATCAGTAACTCTCATCTAAATAAAATTTCTGATACTAACCCACAACTTGATCTCTACAACATTAGCGCTATTTATATTCATCGACTTGGCCGTGTGGGCCTGTGTATCTCAGGCCCGGTGCCATTCACAAGAAGAAGAAGAGTACATCCATAATCGAGAAAAGTACGAGTAACAAGATTTCACTGTGATAAAAGAAAAAGATTCGCAAGAGTGAAGATAAAAAAGTAAGTAAGAATATAAAAAAACATGATATAGCGTTTGACAGAAAATGAAAAATATCAACTCAATCAACCTATTTACCTACCATAACCTATTACAAAGTACGCGTAGCTAATTCATTGTTTACAAGAACTGAAAAAACTTGAAAAAGTTTCAAATAATTTACAGCACGAATATCGCCGAAATTACTAATTATTAATTATTTCTGTGTTACAGCAAAAATAATATAGCGTAATAAGCACTGATTGAGCCTGGAGAATATCAGTAAAGCCACAAGTTAATAATATTAAATAAGAAATTAACATATTTCCTTATTTGTGATAAGAGAGCAAAATCTGCAAGAGTGAAGATAAAAAAAGTGAGTAGGAAATGTAAGAAAACATGATATGGCATCCCATAAAAGACAAAAAATCCTAACTTTATCTACCCATCATAACCTATTACAAAATACGCGTAACTAATTCATTTAGAAGGATTTTGAAAAATAATTTACAAATTGCTATGGAAACTTAAATTACTAATTATTATTTATTTTTGTGTTACAGCGAAAATAGTATATGCATTGAATAGTGCCACAAAGATTGAAGAGTTCGATCCAGCATCATATAGATTCTAACCCTAACGTAATCTAATTCTTGAAAAAGTTTCAAATAATTTACAGCACGAATATCGCCGAAATTACTAATTATTAATTATTTCTGTGTTACAGCAAAAATAATATAGCGTAATAAGCACTGATTGAGCCTGGAGAATATCAGTAAAGCCACAAGTTAATAATATTAAATAAGAAATTAACATATTTCCTTATTTGTGATAAGAGAGCAAAATCTGCAAGAGTGAAGATAAAAAAAGTGAGTAGGAAATGTAAGAAAACATGATATGGCATCCCATAAAAGACAAAAAATCCTAACTTTATCTACCCATCATAACCTATTACAAAATACGCGTAACTAATTCATTTAGAAGGATTTTGAAAAATAATTTACAAATTGCTATGGAAACTTAAATTACTAATTATTATTTATTTTTGTGTTACAGCGAAAATAGTATATGCATTGAATAGTGCCACAAAGATTGAAGAGTTCGATCCAGCATCATATAGATTCTAACCCTAACGTAATCTAATTTATAAAAGATGGAGAAATCGCAGAAAATGCCCAAAGTGGCAAAGGTAAAAAATAAGGCGCCCGCAGAGATACAAATCACCGCGGAGCAGTTGTTGCGCGAAGCGAAGGAGCGAGATTTGGAAATTCTTCCGCCACCGCCAAAACAAAAAATATCAGATCCTCATGAGCTTGCGGACTACCAGCATCGCAAGCGCAAAGCATTTGAAGATATCATTCGTAAAAATCGTATGATCATTACGAATTGGACAAAGTATGCGCAATGGGAGGAGTCACAAAAACAGATACAACGTGCGAGATCTATCTACGAGCGAGCGTTGGAAGTGGATCATCGAAATATTGCATTATGGCTCAAATACACGGAAATGGAAATGCGCAATAGGCAGATAAATCATGCTCGAAATTTATGGGATAGAGCGGTGACTCTGCTACCGCGGGCGAATCAATTTTGGTACAAATACACTTATATGGAAGAGACTTTGGAGAATATCGCTGGTGCGCGTCAAGTCTTTGAGCGATGGATGGAATGGGAACCAGACGAACAGGCCTGGCAGACATACATAAAGTTCGAGCTTCGTTATAAGGAGATAGATCGAGCTCGACAGATCTACGAGCGTTTTGTAATGGTTCACCCTGACGTGAAACATTGGATAAAGTACGCCCGCTTCGAAGAATCATACGGATTCATCAAGGGTGCGCGCGCGGTATATGAACGAGCCGTAAGCTTTTACGGAGACGAAGGTCTCGATGAGAAACTGTTCCTGGCGTTCGCCAAATTCGAAGAAGGTCAACGAGAACACGATCGTGCCCGTGTAATTTACAAGTACGCGCTCGATCACTTACCGAAGAGCAACACTCAGGAGATCTACAAGGCGTATACGATCCACGAAAAAAAGTACGGCGATCGCTCAGGTATCGAAGACGTAATAGTCAGCAAGCGGAAATATCAATACGAACAGGAAATTAAAGAAAATCCCTCCAATTACGACGCGTGGTTCGACTATTTGAGATTGGTGGAGTCGGAAGGTAACGTTGACGTGATTCGTGAAACGTACGAACGAGCGATAGCTAACGTGCCACCCACCAAGGAAAAACAATTTTGGCGAAGATACATCTATTTATGGATCAAGTACGCTCTTTTCGAGGAACTTGAGGCAAAGGATATCGAACGGTGCCGACAGGTGTACAAAGTGTGCCTCGACCTTATACCGCACAAACGGTTTACCTTTTCGAAAATCTGGCTTCTTTACGCGTACTTCGAAATACGACAAAAGAATCTGGCTAAGGCGAGAAAAACATTAGGACTAGCGTTGGGAATATGCCCATCAGACAAACTTTTTCGAAGTTATATTGATCTCGAAATACAGCTTGTGGAGTTTGATCGTTGCCGAAAGCTCTACGAGAAATTTCTCGAGTTTGGCCCGGAAAACTGTACCACCTGGATGCGATTCGCCGAGCTGGAGACGCGATTGGGCGAGATAGATCGGGCTCGAGCGATATACGAGTGCGCTGTCGCACGACCGCGACTGGACATGCCGGAGCTACTATGGAAATCGTATATCGACTTCGAGATTGCCCAAGGCGAAGCAGAGAACGCCCGCCAGCTATTCGAACGATTGCTAGAGCGTACATTGCACGTTAAAGTCTGGATAGCATATGCAAAATTTGAACTATTGAATCCACAGTTGGAAGATAGTCCAGACAATGTCGTTTTAGCGAGACGTATTTTCGAGCGCGGGAACGACGCGCTGAGATCCAGTGGCGATACCGAGAGTCGAGTGTTGCTATTGGAAGCATGGAAAGATTTTGAGAGCGAGAAGGGCACCCCGGAAAGTCTCGCGAAGATTATAGAGAAAATGCCGCGTAGGGTGAAGAAGAGGAGGCGCGTCGTTGGCGAAGATGGCAACGACGACGGCTGGGAGGAAGTTTTGGACTTTGTATTTCCGGAAGACGAATCGCAGAGGCCAAATCTAAAATTCTTGGCTTCTGCAAAGGCTTGGAAAAAGCAGACCGAATCTCAATCTTGAGATAATATTATATATGTATATATTTGTGTATATATATATCTGTATATATGTGTGGATGATTACATTTGATTAGAAAATATTATTTTTATAATATTTCATAATTTCACAATTTATTTTAAGTATAAAAGTGTATAAGTTGCAAAGTTTGAATTTAAAAACATGTAAATAATAATTCTAAAACATATAAAAAGAAGAGAAGAATAAAAACAAAACTTGATTTCTCTTTCTGCTCTCTTTCTCTAATCCCTAATGGAATAAGATATGGGAGGAGGGGAAAGTAACACCAGAGAGAAGCCTGAGAGTGGCCATGCCGCCGTTTTTCGCGAGACGTTTTCCTAACTGGTACAGTGGCGCTAACTGAATCCATTGTAGAACCGGCGGAACTACAGGGCCAGATCCACTTTTTGATGCCATGGTAAAACGATTGGTTGGTGCATGTCCGTGCTAAACACATTGTGGATCAAAAATGCGGAGAAATATTATAGATTTATTAATGTTTTATTAGCTGCGCGTAAAGTTTTGTCATTCTAGTATATATTACAGCGATAATAAATTATAATTTAAGTATTTTTATGTATATGCACATGTAAAATAAAATAAATTTTCTTAATAATTTTTTTCCTAATTTTTAAATATAACGTGTAGAAGATATTTACAATAAATTGCTTTCACTTTTTTTCTTATTCTTGAAAAGTATTAAGCATTTTAAACATCAAATCATGCTTTTGATTTATATATAAGTTTATATTATTAATTTTTTTCTTATAATTATATTATTCAATTAATTTTTTAATTTATGAATTCAGTTGGATGCACTAGTGCGCACCGATGCACATTAAAAGTTATTATAGAC